CTTGTCTCATTGCTGTCAGCCCACTACTGAGGTAAGGGCGACGCCTGTGGTGCGACTTGTCTCATTGCTGTCAGCCCACTACTGAGGTAAGGGCGTCGCCTGTGCTATGATTTGTTTCATATACAATAGTCTCTGGCTTACAAATGAATTCTGTTCCAGGAGAATGTCCGTAAGCCAGGTTCATTTGTAAGTCCGACAAAGTGGGTCTTGACACAAATATACACTGTGTATTGCTTTGCACTTCCCAGCAGTCCCTTCCACATCACCACTGCTTTTCCTCTTGTTTCCAGACATCCTGGGCTCTGACGGAGCACTGTACTGCTGTGCACTATCACACTGTACACTGAGCACACAGCAGCACAGCTGTGACTGTACATGAGCCACTCCCATGGTTTTTTACATTGATGAATGTTTGTAATGCAAGGTATCTTCTTTCTTATCTGTGAAGCTCACAACTTGAATGTTTGTAAATAGAGGACTTTCTGTAATGCTTTTGTCTTACTATGTCAGATGAGCTAGAACATCTTCCAGCTGTTTATTCTCGGTTGCTTTGAGCCACTATCTTGGAGATTCTTAAATTCTCCAAGAAATGTATAGACTTTTTATGCATTAGTGGGGTTGGGATATCTTTCTAGGGGTTGATCTCCTAACCATCCAACCTCAGAAATGTTAAGGAAAAGAAACCATACTGGTTTGTGAGAGTCCAGCTCTTATAACTGAGTGCAGCTGTTAATAGGGGTGTCCCTTTTGGAGCAGATACCCTTGGAGGATGCTCCAAAGCAGAGGCCTGTCAGCATCTCTGGGAGGTTACAGTATCACTAACCTTCTCTTACAACTCACATCTCTGCGTTGCTCCCCCAGAAGGTGTCCTAGGGAGTACCCTCCAGGCCGGAGCTGTAAAGCGCGGCTTGGGCCAGTGTCCAAGTGCATGTGTGTGTGTGTGTGTGGGGAGCAGAAGCACTGGCCATTAGTGCAGAAGTACAGCATTTTTGATGATGGCTTTACCCTGCCCTTTGGCCTGATGGGTATTTCTCTAGGTTTAACCAGAACATGTGAACTTCTGACTTTTGCTTTCTAGGCTTTTTGAACCATGGCCAAGGCCCTCAGTGCAGGTACACAGCAGGTTGCAGACTCTCCTGTGCCTGTTCTGTCATGCTATTGCTAGCATGTTTGCCTACTTCTGTCACCAGTCATCCCACCCAAATGGAGATGCGCAAGTTGTAGGGGTGCTGCTATCCAACACTGAGCTAAGTCAGTCACTTGTTTTATAAGCAAGTTGGTCCTCCCTTCGCTCAGCTCCCCGTTAGCCTCTTTCCCCTCACCTCGTAGAGCCTGTATCCCTCCTCCTGCTCCCTTCCACAACTCCCTTTCAAATTTTTTTTCTACTTAAGAATTAGAGCCGATTAGCCACGTCATTAATTCTTCAATTTGACGGCTGATATAGCAAGACCTGAAACACATTGCTGACCCCAGAGAATGGAGACCCCGTTCCTAAGCATATTGACGATGGGAGAAGTTAATTAAAATTCCACAGAGCAGAGGTGTCGGCTAACCTATAAACCTGTCGCTGTTCAGAACAAATCATTCTAGCAATCGTAGGAAAGAGCAGCAGGGAGTGGAGAGGCTAAGTGTGTGGGAGCAGGGAGTGGAAAATGGAGCCATTGAGCTTTGTCTCCTGCTGGTACTGCCCTTTTAGGAGCATATGAGCCAGGCTTAGGTGTCTGTGGCTAGTATGTATAAGGACTGGAGGTGTGGAGGTGACAGGTGTGCTGGTTACTGTGTCTTAGTGGTTGCCTACGGACTTCTATCAGCTTCAGCAGACTGGTGGTAGAGGGTCTGGTCATAGACAGAACCTTCAGAACTGGAGATGGGCCATGCTCCCCACCTCACCCTCAGCCCCTTCAGTGGAATGTCATGCTGCCTCTTCCAGAAGAGAAGCTGTTACAGGCACTGTCAGTCAGGAAGAGAAGCTGTTGCAGGCACTGTCAGTCATCATTGAGAGCACTTGAGATCACAATAAATTGTGACCTCAGGCTTCGATTAGGGGCCACAGCTTGGAGGCTGGCTTTGGGGAAGGACTTCGCTTTCTCATGTCACTACTACTGTGTGACTGCGTCACTTCTGACAACCACTGGTCAGTCATCCGCTCTGTGCAGACCCTCTGCTAAGTCCTCGCGGTGTTCTCTCTTTGGTAGAGACCTGCACCCTGTGTTTCCCTCACAGTCTCCAGGTATTTTTGATCTCTTGGTACATTTTATTGGCCCTGGCTTGTTCTTTCTTTCTTTTTTTTTTTTTTTTTTTTCGGGACCGGAGATTGTACTCAGGACCTTACACTTGCCAGCGAAGTGCTTATTCTACTGAGCCATCTCCCTGGCCCCTGGCCCTGGCTTATTCTTTTGCTTATGGTTGACCAGCTTTTCAGCTCTTGACCTGTGTTATTTAGAGATGGCTTTGTCACCACCTCCACAGATGGTGTCTTGGACTCTTCTTTAAAAGTTTGTTTTGGGGATTCTTCCTTTGTACTAGATGACTAAGGAAGGCATGTGCTGGTGTTATCTCTGCCCCCTTTTTTTCTCTTGCCTGAAGAATATACTGGGCTAGAGCTAAAGTCTTGTTTTACCTGATACAGCGTTTCCTTGTAGATTTATTTTCTTTCCACTGTGCCCATATCTTTGAACCTTTCAGTGAGCTCATCAATTTCCTCACCTTTGGGAGGCACTGGCTTCCAGCCCCAGTCTGTTCTTTAGAACATGCTGGGAGGTGAGCTCCGCTTTGCCCTTTTCTCACAGAGTGGCCAAGGTGACTGTCCCCTTCTAGCCTGAGCTCCCTCATCTCTTTTCTCTATAGACTTTACGAACTTATTGTGGAGATGACCTGAAAGAGTGCACTTAACTTTGCTCCTGGGGCTTCCCTAGCTTGTTTTCTTGTATGTGAAATCAGGCACCTGTAATAGGAAACAGGGGACCTTCAGCCCTCAGCTTAGCAGGAGGGGCTGTTGGCCAGGAGAAAGGTATTCTGTCCTGTGTCCAAATGTCTCTTTTCCTTCCTTTTGAGACCTTGAAATCTTGCATGACAGGCAATTGTGGAGGATGCTGCCTAATTCCAGTTGTGTGCTTAGGGCTGTTTAGATACCAAAAAGCGCAGAAGAAAACAGTAGGGCTTGAAGGAAGGTGACAGGCAAAGAACGCTTCCTCTGCCTCCACAAGCCTACCTACTCATCTTCTTTTGTGATGCCAGTAATCTTGTTGTAAATATGCACGAGGGCTTCTTCCTGGGGAGGATCCCACCTGGGGCTGTTGGATGAGTGAGAGGAAGAGACTGCAGTGGCGTGTCGGGCCCAGTGTGGAAAACCCTGTCTGCAGTAGTTTCAGGGCAGGAAATGTCCAGCCTTATTGCCTCAGAGATATTACCATCTAAGCTCACGTTGAGCTCTGAACACTTTCTCATGAGTAATACAGAAAAGATTTTTAAGAGCAGCCAGATGTGGTGGCATATAACCCCTGCACTTGAGAGGCTGAGCTAGGAGGATTGCCAGTAGTTTGAGGCCAGCCATGAACTGCCAAAAAGTGAAAAACAGAAAACAAAGAATATATGATTTTCTTATTGCCATTATACAGTTACTTCCCACTGAATAAAGTTAGTACTTCATAACAGGCTGTGCGACACCGTTGCAGCCTTAGCTCCTTTCCCTTCCACTACTTCTCGTACTTTCCCATTCCCTTTCACCTCGCTCCCCATGTGATAGCTTCCCCAGGGCTTTACTCAGTAAGGGACAGGATGGGAGCATCACTGGGAGTGCAGGCTCCCTGGCTGGGAATAGAGTGTCTTCTAGAAGAAAGGAGAAATTGAGGTACAAGGGTGCTCAGCACAGGGCTGTGTGTGATAGGTAGTAAAGGCCATGATCCATGTCATCTCCAGCCTATGGGAGGTTCTGTGGGGCTGGAGAGCAGTCTCTCTTCTTGTAGGACAGAGTGGAGGCAGGGCGAGGTGGACAGGCAGCACACAGGAGAAGCCTGGACTCACTCCGAGAGCTGTGAACACTTGCACCATTCCTGGAGTGCCCGTGCACACAGCTCTTCAGTTTTCAGAGCCTCTCCAGCCTGCAGTGGGGCGTTAGTGAGAGCAGTCTGTAGACCCCCAGGCCTCTGCCTGTGAAGGAAGACAGGGAGGGAGCACATAGCCCTTCCTCCTCTACAGGCACTGTGTGTGTTGCACTGGGAGAAGGTTCTCAGCAGAGCCCTTCCCCATCTCAAGCAGTGCTGCCCTTGTGTGGGTGAGTGTGGTCAGGAAGGCTTCCCGGAGTCTTGCATTTTAATCCCTTCTCCCCCCTTTCTGTCATCAGGGAAATATATGAGTGGTATAGTTGTAGAAATTTGACTTAGCTGTGTTATTAAATATACAATGTAATTTTGTGTAACCTTGCTCACTGTGGTGGCCTGTTTGTTTTTGGGGGGATTAGTCCAAGTCTGCATGAAATGTACCAATTCAAATTTGTAAAGTGAGTTGCGGCCTCTGGGGGTTTTGGTGAAGGAGACGCCCCTTCTTGCTTCATTTCTCCCAGAGGTGAGGGTGAGCCTGGAAGGAAAACGATCGCTGTGCACTACACTGTTTGGGCAGGAGTGGGGGCTTCTGGGAGAACAGGATTTTTGTTCCAGCAGCTACTGGGTTTGCTGTGTGCTATGTGTGGTGGCCACTGTCCATCAGCCTGTTGAAATGCATCTTTCTTTACTGAGAGGTAATTGCATAAGAAGTGTGCTCCAACAGAGAGGTTAAAGGCTTGGAAGAAGTAGGCAGCC